TTAGCCACGAGATTAGAAAATGTGAGGAACCCAGCAGATGGCGTTGTGGTTCCATCACTGGGCCACCATGTAGTTGACCACAGTTCAAGTCCTGGACCCGACAGCTTGAAACTCATGTTGGGTGCATGTGCATGAGTGCTCAAAGTCCCAAGAGGAGACTGGAGGAGGATGGACTGTGGTGTGGTCATGCCCCCAGGGAGTGATTTCTTGCTTTCTATCTCTCTGTCTGTCTCTCATCTCTCCAGTAAGTGCATGCACCCTAGAGCAAAAATCTCTCAAAAAAAAAAGGGGGGGGGGAGAAAATGTGAAAAATATCCAGATATTTTAAATAGACCGAGCACTTTGGTCAGGTAGCGTGATAGCAGTGGAGAGGGCATAGGTTTCCGACGTGGACACCATTCTCTCTCTGGCTGGGCTGTAAGCTTCTCAGGTTGGAAGTCATGTCACCTTCATCTCTGCATTGCCAAAGCACCGGCATGGTATAGGGAGCACGGACTAGTTAAATAGGAGGCATTCTGAGTACTTGGTTACAGGTGTCCTCGTTTTTCTTTAAAATTTTTTTTTTTGGAGAGGTTTTTGCTATAGGGGGTGTGCACTCACCAGGAAGACAGAGACAAAGAGACAGAAAGCAAGAAATCACCACCCAGGGGAGATGGCCACACTGCAATCCCTTCTCCTCCCAGGATCCTGGACACGCACGCACACGTGCCCGGCATGAGTTTAAGCCACTAGGTCCGGGACTCGAACTGCGGTGGACTACATGGGAGTCCAGCGACATAGCCATTATGCTAACTGCTGGTCCCTTAAATAATTATTTTACTTAATTATATTTATTATTTTCTAATTTGATCAGAGAGAGAGAGAGAGAATGAAATTGAGAAAGCAAGCCACCAGGTCTGGGACTTGAACCGTGGTTGGCCATGTGGGAGTCCAGTGCCCTTAACCACCATGCCACCTACTGGCCTCCAGGTGTCCTCATTCTTCAAACCTACCTTCTAGTACTTTTGATCTTGACCCTTATGGCCTCCTCCAGTACTTGGGATCTATAAAGTGGTCCCTAGGGCCAGCCCGTGGCCTGGTGGTTAAGTGACTAGATCTCTCATGGCTGACTGCATGGTTTGTGTGTTGGCCCCAGCAGCTTAAAAAACACACCAGGCATGTGTACATACCCAGAATCCTGAGGGGAGGGAGAGATGGAGGAAGGATGGCAGTGTGACTGTGCCCCATGGTGGGTGCTTTCCCTCTCTGTCTTTTTCCAGGGAGCACCCTCTCTCTGACAAAAATTTTTAAACAAGTCTACCTTCCACCCTATAGTAGTTTTATAACAAGGTACCATAAACTTAGAGGCTTAAAACAGCACAAAGTTCGAATTAAAACAAATAATAATCATAAATCAGTTAAATAAAATAATTCTCAAAACAGCACAAGCGTATTCAGTTTTTTAGTATAGAGGTCTGAAACGTACCTCACTGTGCTCCAGTGAAGATGTCAACAAGAGGCTCTAGGGGGACGGTCCATGTCTGTGCCTTTTCCAGCTGGTACAGGTCACCCACATTCCTTGGTTCCTCGTGGCTCTCTACCTCCGTCTTCAACGGCATCGTCATCCAGCCAAGTCTTTCTCGCGCTTCTGTTGTCAAGCACCACTGTGATTACACTGGGATAATCTAATCCGTAATAATTTGGAGAGTCTCCCTTTTTAATGATTTATTTTTTTAGGTTTTCCCAATAGGTTACTTGTACTCACCAGAGGAAGACAGAGAGAGGGAAAGTGGGAAGTCACCCCCCAGGGAGATGGCCACACTACAGTCTCTTCCCCATTTTCCTCTTGGGGTTTTGGGCATGCACGTATATGTGTCCTGTGTCATTTTCAAACCACCGGGTCTGGGACTCCTACTGCAGTTAGCTTTGTAAGAGTCCAGTGCCTTAACCACCACACCACCTGCTGGCCCCAGAATCTCCCTATTTAGGTCATCTCATTAGCAACGTTAATTCTCTTGTCATGTTAGTGTAACATATTCACAGGGATTAGAATGTGGACATCTTTAGGGGGCCCTTCCGTCTACCGCATGTAACTTTTTTCACTAGCTTCTTCCCTCTGCTTGTAAAATCCTAACTCGTAGTTTCTAAAGAACATCTGGTGGAGGTCGTCCATCCCAAACTATGACCTCATTCCTTCCCTTGATCTCAGAATTACTCTCTGATGTATTCACTCCTTGGTTCCCGTCTGTCTGCTAGAACTTGCCTCGGTAAAGGCCCAGTGCCTTCCCATGGCTCAGCCCTTGGGCGCGTCCCTTGGGGGTGCTTCTGTATTCCGACACGGGACTCTCCTGTCCTTCAGACGTCTCCTCCGTGGCCTGCTGGTATTCCTCCCACCTGTCTGCTTTTCAGTCTCCTATTTTCTCTTCCTTCCTTCTTCCCACTCCTGGAAGACTTGCTTTTCATTCAGTTTATCTTCCACTGATAATTTCATCCGTTCCCACAATTTGAATTGGATGCTAAGGATTCCCATATTTACAGCTCTCACTCTGCCCTCTTTCCTGGAGCCCCATTCTGAATCGCCTGTTGCTCCCCTGGGTATTCCAGGCAGAGGCCCTATTATCTAGGTATCTTCAGAGAGGGGAGTGCAAGAAGATGATTGGGGTACAGGAATAAGATAAACTTTATTTTCCTCTTATTTTACAGTGTATTTTTAAAAATTTGTATAAGGCATTGACGTATATAATTACTATATTATTAGTAAGTATAAACATCTGTTAGTATAAACATTTTGTTACATGATAAAAGGATCAAGAAAGTTTGGCAGGTCTTGATTTTCCAGTTTGTTTAGCCAAAGAATCGCTTTCTTTAAGTGATTCTTTTACCTGTTTTTTTTTTTTTTTTTTTTTAATGTGAATCAGGGTCAGCCGTCTTGCACTGTGCATAGGTAGTAGGATTCCACGTGGCCACCTGTGGTTTGAGTCATGGCCCTGGTGGCTTGAAAAACATGCCAGGGAGGTGTGTATCCATTTATGGCCAAAGGGTGGAGAAAGGATGGAAAAGGGTTGCATCGTGACCACGGCCCATTGGGGGTGCTTTCTCTCACTCCCTCACTCTGGCAAACACTCATACCCTCTAGCGATTAGAAAAAAGCGAAAAGTCAATGGAGAGCTGTTCCTGTTGGAAAGGAGTTGGGCCTAGAGTCCTGTTCATTCTAGTGGAGGCTCTCGAGGGGCTTCAAGACACATCTGGTGTAGGCCGTCATCATACTTCAGGTCTGATTAAAAGTCTTAGGAGTCTGGGCCCAGCAGGTGGTGTAGTGGTTAAGGTGCCAACTGCCATTCGAGTCCCAGACCCAGCAGCTTGGAACTCACACCGGGTGTGTGTACGTGAGCGCCTAAAATCCCAAGAGGAGAATGGAGAAGGGATTGTGTCAAAATCGTCCACCCTGGGGGCGGGGGGCAATTTCTAATTTTTCTCTCTGTCTCTTAGCGAGCTTATGGGCCGAAAGCAAAAATCTCTCAATAAAAAAGTCCTAGGATCTAGTAATGACACCTGTCTTCATGGATGTCAGTTCTAAAAGGCTGTTAACGTCCTCTTTCCTCCACACTGCTGTCAGCATCACTCACATGTGTGTGTACGGATCACGTCTGTTTGTCCACACCGTCTCTCTGGGCAGGCCTTTGTACATGGCAGGTGCTCTGTGAGTGAGTGTCGAAGAATGGGCAGATGGACACTGAAGTTTGTTGATAACATTTATGTTCAGAAGAGCAGGTTCTATTCTGCCTAGATGTGGCCTGCTTGGATTTTGTGTTTTCTTGGCATCCTAAGTTTAGTCCTAATGTTCTGGGGTTCCGTCGGGTTAGATACTGAGTCCGTAGGCCCAGGGCTCCTCTGAAGTGGCACTGCGGTGTTGCCACTCCTCTGCAGCAGTCTAAGACATTAGTTTTTGTCACCGTTGCAAAGTGACCCTCTTCCAGGCCTCATTTCCTCACTTAATGGGATTTGCTAACCTCGCATTGCCTAATGTCAGTATAACCAAGTTTTAAGCATGTTGATTAGAAAGAAACTCTTACATAGTATTACTGAGTCAATCCTGTAGATCTTAAACCTAATTACATTTGCTTCGCCATTATGTAAATGCAGTGTTAAGTCAACCTTTCCCTTTCCCTTTGTAGCTAGGCCAGAGGTTTAGATGCACTCTCTGTCCTGGCTGGTGGTTTTCCCTGAAGAAGAGGAAACTTAACTAAAAATTTACCAGCTTGAGCCCAGGTCTCAAGATGGTATAAAAAAAAGCCAGCCCATTTAATTTTTTTTTTTCCTTCCAAGTTTCTTTCTTTCATTAGTGTATAAAAAAAAAGCCAGCCCATTTAATTTTTTTTTCCTTCCAAGTTTCTTTCTTTCATATGAGAGAGAGAGACAGACAAGCAGATACGGAGACAGGCATGCGTGGCCAGTTGCTGGGGCTCTGGTCCTCCCCCCAGCCCTGCAGCCAGCCAGGATTGCAGGTGTGCCTGGCACGTTCCAGTTGACCTGGGCTGTGACTCCAGAGCCTTCCCGCAGGGCTCCCAGCATCGCACAGCAGTGTCCCCCTACTGCATGCGACACTGTGGCTGGGCCCAGCCTGTTTTACTTTTAATGGATCAGTGCCTCTCACCCCTTTGCATGTTTCTTAGAGTTTCAAACCAAGATGGCTTACCTGCCTGCAAGCTGTAGGAGATGCTGCTGACCTCGCGGTCCCATGAAATGGGTGGCTGGGCCCCTCTGGGCGCTCAGGTGTGTCTCATGGCAGGGAGCAGGAAGGCCGGCTCGCCTTCAGAGCTGGAGCGGTTTTCTTTTTTTACTTGTAACAGGTATCTTCAGTGTTTGGTCTTAAATTTCTCATTTCTTTGTGTTCCTCACTTTCCCTGGGCTCTCATTATAAAACTGATTTTGCTGTGTCTCGAGTTGAGCAAAACCGGTCTGGTGTTTTCTGGTTGCCCAGGTTGCCGACGAGTACATGTTCCCCCTGGAGGAGACTAAGAAGGCCAAGGGTCGCCGCCAGCCCTTGAGCAAGCTGCCCCGCCATCACCCGCTCGTGCTACAGGACTGCGTCAGCGACGATGGTAAGTGCCGTTTCCTCTGCACCGAGAGGACAGCAGCTCCCTGTTAGGACTCGCAGTAACAGGACATCAGAAGCCAGGCCGAGGGATAAGGTGGGCCTGCGTCTTGGCTGTTCTCCCAGATACTCTGTAAGGAAGACATGATTTCCTTTTATATCTGATTGACTCATCAGATTTCATTACACGTTTGAATATCTTGAAACGTACCTAATACGGGATAATTGCCTGCAGAGTCTTTCCTTTCTTGTCCTAGGAGATACAACGCTGGCTTTTCAGAGTAGCAAGTTCTGTCAGTGAGGCCAGGGCCTGTGCTGGATATGTAGATCAGAGATTACTAAGATACGTCTGTGCTCTCAAAACACTCACAGGGTAGTAGGGCAAACTAACAGGCAGTCAGGTCTAAAGAAAGAAGAGAGGGGCCAGCTGATGGCCTGGCAGTTAGGGCAGTTGGATACAGTGTGGCCAACTGTGTTCAAGTCCCGGACCTGGAGGCTTGAGAAGCATGCAGGGCACTTATGTCTACTCAAGAGTCCTAATAGGGAGAAGTGGAGGAGAAGAGATTGTGGCAAGACAGACCCCTGGGGGATGCTTTCAGGATCCTGTCATTGGGAAATTCTGCACCACCCTCTCTGTTTCTCTCCAGTGAGCACTCATGCCCTCTGACAAATTGTAAAAAGAGAGAGATGTCAATTCAGGCAGAGGACAGCAGAGTGACTGTGGCGGAAAGAACCAGTAGGAGCATTGAGAGGAACCACTCAGCTCAGTGTGGCTGGAGTTAAAGGGAAGGCCAGGGAGTGGTTGGTGGAGTGGGAGAGGAGGGGCCGAGTGAGGCGGGATCGAAGTGTTTTTAAGCAGAGGAATGACGTGGTCAGATTGACATTAGAAAGATGGCTCCCAGTAGTGACATCTTGAGGATGGCTCTGAAAGGCCCGGATGGACTTTTGTGATGGTCTCTGGGAGGCATAGTGGTCTGAATTAGGATGGTGCTGGGGGAAGGGAGAAGGTAGGTGGGAGAAGGGAATGGAGGAATGGAAACATTTAGGTCAAGGCATCTGGTTTGGTGACTGACTGTGGAGCTGCTAGATGAGGGAGGAGGATGAGCTTCTCTGGTTTGCAGAGTTGGTAGGGTTTTGGAAACCTGAGTTTGTGTCTGGAGGATGTGGACTTGGGGCTTGGCACAGACCTGGTATTTGGTATCACCATTAGCATAAATGAGGTCACTCATGGAGAGGGCACAGAGGGGCGTGAGCAGAGACTGGGTTTAGGTGGGCAGAGGAAGGAAGGAGACCTCTGAAGGAGACAGAAGTGGGGAAGTATGTAAGAACTGAGAAATGAGGCGTGAAGCTCAGGGAGTGGCCGGGTCAGCAGTGGGCTCCCAGTGCCCACAGGCCTTGGTATTCTCTTGACTAATGCCGGGCCCTGAGCTACCCTGCCCTCTCCTTTCTGATCTGACATCAGTGCCTCGTCTGCTGTTTGCCTTTATAGAAAGATGGCGATAAGCTGGGACAGGAACATTGCTGTAGTCAGAAGTGCACCCAGACCTTACGTCAGGTCCTAGGCTGTCCAGTGTTCTTCCTGTCCAGCCAGGAGCTGCAGTGATCTAGCTAACTAGCTGACCCACAGTCCCTCTCCCTAAGGCTTTAAAGCAAAATTAACTGTATAGAAAGTAATAAAGAGAAATAGAAAATACCCAGATATCTACCATTCAGAGGTAATTAATAGGAACCAATTTTTTTTTTTTTTTTAAGTTTTTGTTATGGGGCTCGTGCACTCACAAGAGAGAGAGAAGGAAAATGAAAAATCATACACACCCGCATCCTCCCAGGCATCTGGCCCCACTGCAGTCCTTTCTCTAGTGTCCTCTTGGATTTGGGGAATGCACACACATACACAGGTGGTGTGATTTTCTTTTTAAATTTTATTTATTATTATTTTTAAATTTGACCAGAGACAGACACAGAGAGAAAGCGAGAATATAAGCCACCATGTCTGTCACATGGGAGTCCAGTGCCTTAACCACCATGCCACCTGCCAGCCCCACTAGTGTGATTTACAAGCTGCCAGCTCAGGACTTGAACCGTGTAGTCGGCCATGTGGGATCCAGCTGGCCACCTTAACCTCCATGCCACCTCCTGCTCCCTGTGCCTCCACTTTTTATAAAAACCTTTTCCATTGAGGTGTAACATACTCAATGAAATGCATACCACGGTTTTTTGTTTTTTTTTTGTTTTTTTTTTTGAGAGGTTTTTGCTATAGGGGGTGTGTGCTCGCCAGACAGACAGACAGAAAATGAGAAATCCCCCCCCCAGGGGGGATGGACACACCACAGTTCCTTCTCCTCCATTCTCCTCTTGGGATCTTGGGCATGCATGCACTCGCACCTGGCGTGAATCTAAGCCACTGGGTCTGGGACTTGAACCGCGATCGACTACATGGGAGTCCAGCGACATAGCCATTACAGTAACTGCTGGTTCCGAAATGCATACCACTTTTTAAAAATATTCTTTCTTCCTTTCTCGTATGAGAGAGTCACACACACAGGCACCCTCAGCAAGTTTCATCCCTCTCTCTCTCCCCTGACCCAGGACCCGAACCCCGATCTCCAGTGTAACCTGCAGGATCGCACAGTTGTGTTAACTGCTGCACTGTCACAGCCAGGCTGAAATCCACGCACATAACTGTGCAGCTCAGTGAAGTTTTACATATGTAAACTGTAAAATTTTGATTCCTACTATTTTACTTAACATAGTGAATATTTTCCCTCATCATTCAATATTCACAAGTAGAATGATAACTTTTTTTTGGCCACTTTTGGCTTCGTAAGTAGAACAGATGTCAGTGTGTTAATTTTTTAGCTGTGATCATGAGCCTGTCTGTTTCTGTTCCTTCCATCCTATCTTGGTTAGTCTTGTTTTAGCCAGAGTAAAGGAAGATATCTGTGGTTGGGTTTTGGGCAACATGGCTCCCGATGGAACCAAATGTTGAGGCTTTTAGAGGGTGATTTTAATTGTCCCCATTGGCCTGCTTATGCTCAGTAACCTTTGCTAAGGCCACACACAGTGGCAGCTGCCAGATCTCTTTAGATTAAGGTGACCAGTGTGGGAGTAGGACACGTTTTATCTGCACTGAATCAGAGTTGCCAGGAATGAGCAAATGGGCACCTGGTGCAGATCTGTACTAGAACTTCCCTTGGGCGACTTTGCATAGAAATCAGGGCCTCTTGGGTCTGAGAAGAGGCAAGATCATTGGCTGGGTTGTGGCTGGGATTACAGCTGCTCACGCGTGGCTAGCTGTAGTGGTTGCACGAGGTGCCCTGTGCTGGGCTGGCTCGGGGCCAGTCCCCTGTCCAGTGCTGCGTCCACCGGGCTTACTTTGGCTGCCCTTGCCAGAGAAGGACGAAGCGGTTGCAGCTTCTCAGGCCTCCCTCACTCGGGGAGCATCTGGAGAAACACTCTGAATAGCAGAGATGGTTTATTTTGGTATTTGCTTCTATTTCTACCAAAGATTGTCCTCATTCACTCTGAACCTTTAGAATTATTATGGGACTTCTCTTCCTTGATCTTGTTTCTGCGGGGAGCTGGTGGACCATGCTCCCTAAGCCCTGATTTAGGCGTAACTAGAAGGTATACCTTCATCACTTAAATCTTGGTGTCGTGAGCACTCGTTTCTCGTTTCCCATTCAACGGTGTGTCCCCTTCTGGGAAGACGGACCCCACGGGGAGTCAGATGAGTCTGTCGTGCCGACCGGAGTACCTGTGACACAGGAATTTGTGGAGTAGCCCAGGGACGTAACTATCAGTATCTTATAGTCCCCATTGGTCTCTGTGGGCACCGCTCTCTTCCTCTCTCCAATCCTTAAAAGTGTGAAAATAGTTCTCAACTCCCG